TGACTTTGAGCCTTCCCCGATTTGAAAACGTTCCGCCGCCCCTGACTCTACGGTAACAAATAGTAACCATAATGAATTTTGTACTAAATGAAAGCGCGGAAAAAATGGGATATTCTGATGCTAAATTATGAGGATTCTGAAAAATTTTTTATAACAACTATAACAAATCTCTGAAAAAACAATGCCAAAAGTAGTCTTTCAGGAGCCGTGACTCTATGATTCCACACAATAACCATGATGAATTTTGTACCAAATGAAAGTGCAGAAAAAATGGGATATTCTGATGCTAAATTGTGAGGGTTCTGAAAGCTCTTTTATAACGAACATAATTTATCTTTAGAATTTCGAGCTATTTCACTATGAAGAAGTTTATTGCTTGAAGCAGTTCAAAGTGAATCTGATGGGAAACGATCGATAGCATCAAAAGCATTTATTTTTCAAAACTGATTAGTGAAATCAATAATCAGTGTGACCTCCATTTGCATTCCTCACTGCCTGAAGACAGGATGGATATGAACATAAAAGAGTTTCAAATAGTTCCACGTTTGATTCCATGTTAGTCAGAACATCTATGAGATGCTTTTTTAATGTCTCTTGCTTATAACGATTCTTCACGGTTTCCGATAATATTTTTCGCTCAACTTCATCTTTAATTATTGTTCCAACATGTTCAGCGACATTCAGATCAGGTGAATTGCCAGGCCATGTGTCATTATCCCAAAAAGTGATATCATTCTCTTTAAGCAAATGTTGAGTCATATTCGCACGCATGCATGGCGCTTTGTCATGGACAAATATCATTTGATCAGGATCGATTACATTTTCTTCGTCTTTGAGAAATGGAAACACATGCTGCATCAAAATAAAGTCACGGAAATATTAATCAGTCCAAGATTCACCCTTCTCTTTCATTATCCAATGCAGCTTTTTCGCTGTGAAAATGATAAAAATACCAATACATAATTGGTTTTTTACCATCTCGCGATACCTTTAATCATCTTCAATACTTCTTGCCCAAACTCTATCATTTTGATAATTTGGCCTGCGAATAGTCCAAACATAAAATTCATCCGAAGGTGCGAAATGAAGAAAATCTTCTTGAGTCCAGTCTCTTAGCCAATCACAAAACCACAATCGATCCGAAATATGGGTTTCTGTTTTTAAGGATTTTGGAATAACATGAAATGGTTTTAATCTATCCCTATGGCGGTAATTATCGATTGGTTTTGGTGTAACATACTCTTTGTATTTTTCTGCAATCTCTTTGACCAAAGCATAAGAACTTCTTTTTTTGCTGACCAGTTGCACTGAGAATGAGATTTTGACTGGCATCTAATAATTTCAGTTTTCGACCACACTCGGAATAATCAGCAAAGCAATCATCGTACGATCTCTCCCACCACTCTGACAAATCGCATACTACGATGAATTTTTTCTGCAATCCATTGGCGATTAATGAATGTTGCACCCCCATCTCGAGCCTCACGAAAAGCGATATATTTGATTCTGTCGAAGATTCTTTGCTGTTCTGAATCGTAGGTACCAGCCATTTCCAACCAATTAAATTAACTTCAGCCACCAAAAGAATCGATTGTTTTTGTCTATCTACCATATATACCACGAAATAACTTTGTGCTGCTGTCGAGGGTCGTGCAATTTTTATTCTTAGACAGATAGAAAAGAAAAATACCATTTGATAAGAGAATCGAAATGTGCTTGCAGAACGAAAAGATATTCAACAGAGAATAAATAAGAAGTACTGCTACACACTTTCTCTCATTTTACTGGCATACGTAGGAGAAGACGTTGGTGGAAACAGTTGTTCACGTGATGTTCTTGAACAGATGGTCGGCATGTATGAATATTTTCGTTCTGTAGCGAGAGAGAACGATAAATAGAAAAAAAACTATTTTTCATTTATCTAACCAGATTTGATTTATACAAATATGTTCATCGCGTGCGTTTGTTGTGATAGTCGTATTGATTCAAAGAATCATCGTCCGTTTCATGGCATTGCAATGCGACTTTCTGTTTCTGCACGACAAAACATATATCTACCAGAATCAGATTATATATGTAATTTGACAATTCTTATTGATACTGGAAAAATGGCTCCGGCTCTGAATCAAATAGTGGAGAACGAAGGGATACAAGATTCACTATCAGATCTATATGATCCGATTGGGAGTGGTATGTCCTAGGCATTATTTAGAAGACAGGCTTTATGCAAGGCCTTGTCTTGGCAATTTTGTAAGTCTTAGTAATTGATATTGATACTAAAAAAAATGGCTTCGATTTTGAATCAAATAATGGAGAACGAAGGTACACATGATTTTGACGTAACCTATATATGACCATTATTTTGTTCAGTATCGAAGTAGGGAATAAGTTTGACTGATCAAGCTGAAATTTATAGGAGTGACTACTAACTCTGAGCTCTACAATTGCTGAAAATTTCACTCGAAACAACCTTTATTTTCAAAGTGGGCCAAAATTCCAGGAAAACATCCCCGTCCTTTGAAGAATTTCATCAGAAAAATCAGAATATTTACATCAATATGTACAATCTCATTTAATCAATGTTAGAATATAATAAATCTTGCCAATAATCAATAGCATAACATCTTCTTTTACTGAATCATTTAATATATAATCAAATGCTCTTAATAATAAATGTATACTATAAACAATATATTGTTCACTTTTACATGAACATGTTCGTTCATCACTATTTAATTTATATCCAATATCACAATCCCGTATTGATATAATATTGTTATTAGAATCAATTTGAAAACAAATTTGTTCACAATATGAACCATAATAACAATATACATTAAAAGCTAAATAATAATAAAATCTTATTTTAATAGACAAAAAAAAAATAATAATAATATTAATCTTCATAACGTGAATAAACACGAACTTGTCTTGGATCTTTTTGATTTGTTGGTACAGGAATAACATCTGACATAGGATTTAAACGATAATCGAACTATGTTTTTTTTTTATAAACACCTTCATATAGATTATCAACAAATAATAATGACTAATGTGTTAATGTTATATCATCCTTTTCACTAATTCTTGTTGTTGATGATGATATTGGAGGATAGAAATGTGTAAGAAAATCAAAACCACGTAAATGATTTACTTCAACATCAAGTACTTTTGTATCATATGAATTCATACAACGATATGAAATCTATAGAAATTAAAATTAAAATAATAGGTTCTTTCTTTTACGCTTTGTAAACCAATATCACTCCAAAATATATAATGAAGGAAGATCAAGATTATAAATAATATAATTTGATTGTAAAAGATTATTCAACAAAAACATTTTCAGAATATTTTTCATTAAAACGAACATGAGCTATTTTCATTGGAATTAGTTTACCATCATGATCAATCCAATAAACAAAATTAATAAAATTATTTTTAAAAATCGAAAAAACAAAAAAATTTTTTTTAAACTAAACAATATCCATTTTGTTATATCAAGATCAAGTGCTATGGATCGTATCATATATATACCTATAGGATTTTCATGATTACTAAATACTATTGTATGATAGAGATCATTTAAAGATATTGCATCAATTTGATTAGGACAAATATTAGCAATAAATAGATTACTAATAATTAATGAGAAATTGAAGAAAATAATTAATTCAAAAAACAGAAAGAAAAAAAAATCATATTACTGCCCGACAGCATCAATTTGCATTGTACCAGCTTCCATCAGAAGTGTGCACCGCTCGCGCGGTTCGTCCGTCCCGTCATGAGAAGTATGACTTACATGAGTGCGACCATATTGATTCCAAATTTTGCGAGCGGGACTGGTACAAAGCGGCTGCCCTCGCCTCATTTACCGTCCGAGTGACCGCATGATCTTAATTTGACCATTTCATGAGGGAATATCTTCTGAAGTTGAAATCGACAAACCTAAGCCGCGATTAATATCATACATCAATACTGCTGACCTTTTCCTCTTACATGATAATGATAAATAACGAAGCATTGACTTCGTAATTGTATTTGATACAAATATCATTTTTAAATCCTAAGCCGGATGGATTTGGAGGGTGTGGGTGTGGATCTGCTCGTGATATACACCCACACCCCACACCCTCATTTCAAACTTTTTTGGGGTGGCAATTGCCATCCTTCGCCACTCCGTCGGCCCGCCACTGGAGAAAGATAGAAAGCTATTTCACGTATATATCTATTCTTTTTTGTTGTTCTACATCAGTATTATTGTCATTTTTTATTTTAAACATGGAACGAAAATGACAACGACGAAATGTCGTGGTTAAGGATTATCATGGTAATAAAAAAACGAAAATTACGAAATGAAAGTAAGATTTTATGTTTCAATTTAATCAACCTCGTTTGTTTTCTTTTTTTAGTAACAACAATTAATACAAAATTTAGATCTCGATTTAAAGATTTAGCCAATGAAATTCTTTATGAAGTATTTGAATATCTCGATATATCATGTTTATGATGGATTTTTTAATCTTAACAAACGATTTCAAAATTTATTAATGGATTCCAATCTTTCTATTCAAATTAATGTATCAACATGTCAAAATCAAATTTCGAACATTATTATCAAGATATGATTTTACCAAATAAACATTGAATAAACTGTCTTCGATTATCAAATCCATTTACTGTTGATATTGTTTTTTCACCACCACGGATTATCACCAAATTTGTTCGTCTTGACGCATTAATTTTTCATAACATCGATGCAAAATATCTCTATAACATTCTCAATCAATCCATTCATTTACCTAAGTTACATTCATTAGTTCTTAATCTTATTGTTTGTGAACAAATTACAAATAAGCTTTTCTATTATGTATTTTGTCTATCTAAATTAAAATATTTTCAAATATCAAAACAAGTAAAAGAAGCACAATTTTTGGTAGTTAGTTTCGATAATTGTGAAGCTAGTCCTATTGAACATTTTGTGATTAAATTCGGCTTTCTAATTCATTCATTGAATTATTTATTACGTCGTCTACCGCAACTTCGTCATTTATCAATTGATTATCTTGTTGGATTTAATGATATAAATATCAAATTATCTAATATTTTATTAAAAGATTTTAAATATCTTTCTCTTAATATTTATAATGTTTCGTTCGGTGGATTTGAAAAATTAATAAAACATTATTTTCGTTCTATTGAAGTTTTACGTGTTAGAACAGAAAATGATCAATCATATTTAAATGCAAATCAATGGGAAGAATTAATATTATCTTTTATGCCAAATTTACGTGTTTTTGATTTCAATCATGATAATGATGCATTTATTTACAAACCTGTACCATATCATGATATACTCAAACAATTTGCATCTGAATTTTGGGTTGAAAGACAATGGTTTTTTACACATCAGTAAGAATGTCAAGGAACAAAAATTGCAAGTGGAATATTGTATTCAACAAATCCATATCGTTAAAAAAAAAGATTAATTGATTTAATAAAACGTTTTTTGTTTCTTTTCTAGAGGAAAAGATTACACATTTTATTGGCGACAAGATACACATATTTGTCCAGAGTTTCAAGAAAATAATTTGAATTCAGTGAAACATTTACACATTCTCTATCAAAAAAGGACAGATAATTTTGTCAATTATTTTCCAAATGCTATTAAATTAACCATTCATTATCGTCGTGAAATATCTGATGATATCTTAATAACAAGTATTGATCGTATTGTTCCTGTAAAACAACTTACTAACGTAGCTACTTATCTTCGTAATTTTCCTTTTCATGAATTGATTAAATTATTATGTTTAACACCTAATTTACACACATTGAAATTCCATATCTCATCTCCCGATGAAACTTCTTCTAATTGAGTTCAACGAAATCAAACTTTTAAATATGTGTCAAAAACAAATAAAATAACAAATTTAGAACTTCTTAATTGGCCTACAGAATTAGAAGAAATTAAATTAATTTTTAATTTATTCCCTCAAATAGAATATCTTAAAATTCCAATAGATAAAAAAGAAATTAAACAAATTATACGATTTTTATTTTCAAAACCCAATAATAAACCACATCATTTAGTTTTCTTATGTATGCTACGATTACCCAAAAGACGTTTAAAAGAATTAAAGACGTTAATAGAATCAAAAAATTTGCTTGATGATTATTTTATTAAATTTGTTCATCATTTGTATTTATGGTGGTAAAAAATTCATTGTTAAGAATCTATTATATATAGTTGACAGTTACTTTGAAATAAACAAGAGAATTAAATTGTCAATAAACTATCATTTATTATTTCATCTCAATCATACGCTAACATAAACGAGAGTGTTGAAACTGTACCGATACCTTTTTATCTGCCTGCATATTGCTCGTATACACATAAACTAGAGAACAGAATGAGAAGAAAACAAAAATTAATAATAATATGTTCTATTAAATAGAACTAGGAGAAGAAAAGATGTCTGATGAGGAGTATATCAGGATTAGCAATCAATTGAAGGAACTGTATATATTAAGAACGTCTGCAGCAGTTAAAAGTTATATTTCAATAATCAGATATAATTAATCGGGCGCACTAAACTTTGTATCAAAAGTTTATACAAGAAAATGAAAACGACAAAACTTGATTGTGTTCTTCATATTATTGAACATCTAGAAGGTGCAGCATCAATTGAATCAATCTTCTTGATAAACAACAATACGGAATTGACTTCGACATTTGTTGGCTCTGTATAGCCCGCCACTCGATAGTTATTTTGAGATTGTCATTTGGATGTGCATTATAGCTGCCCATCGTACATTTATTTGTACTGAAGGCATTTCTTTTGACACTGTGCAGTCTAGTACGGGTAGCAATTGTTTATTACCATAAGAAAATGCTCTTGCATATGTTAGATTCGATCTATAGTTGCACTTTAAACAATATTAAACAGTGATCAATTACAAGTTGATGAAACAACTGTAAATAAATGTCTTTTGTATTCTTAATCTTTGTCTTTGTGAATATAGGCAAAACTTTTGGAAAAGGAACTTGATAAATATGTCTAGAATTCTGCTGAAGCGAAGAAACATCTACTACAGAGTCCTTATCGATGTTTAGAATTGATTCTTGAAGCTGCAGGCATGTGGTATTATAAACTATATGAAAAATGTTCTCGAAATAAATGAAATATTTTTTATTTAATATAGGAAAAACTATTACCACAACTTCATCAACGAAATAAAATTGTTCCATTAGAACTAAAACAATTTGTTGAAACAAATCTTATCAAAACATTTGTACTTGCCGATAAACATGATACATAACAAAACATGAACAGCAAATAACTAATTGGACACGTGAACGACAAGAACAACTTGACAATCAAATTCATCGTTTTGTTATTGAACAAAAAAAAACTAATTTAATAGAACATCTTCATTTATTAGAAGAACATGATGAACTATTAAACTTTTTGAAAATGAATCACGAATTATAATGCAATCACAAGATAAAGAATTTGCTGATGAAACTTTTGAAAATATTCGTACATCAGATAAACATGAATATTTTGAATTAGCTTGTCTTCATTATCATTGGGATCGAATCGAACAACATCGATCATTATATTTTGATAAAAAAATTACGTAATGAAGGGATGAGTGATGTTAGAAATTGACCACCATATAAATATCTTGTTGAAAATTGGAAATATGATCTTGTTGATTATATTTCAATAAATGAAAAAATAAAACGTCGAAAAGAAAATCTACTTCCAAGCGAAAAACCTATTCATTATAAACAACACTTTTTTTTCTAATAGATCAGTTTTTTTTCTCTTGTTGTATATTTTTGGATGGAGAAAAACAAATCTTTGTTGATTGTGCATTGCTTGATGTATTCAGAATATCAGAGAAAAGGACAAATAAAGTTCGAGGGTTCAGACTATTGCGCAGTATTTTACTTAATCATTAAATGGAATGGACGAGGGAACTGAAGAGAAAAGAAAAGAAAAGAAAAGAAGATAGTTAGAGAGAGAGAGAGAAAAAATAAAGGCAGTCACTACTTACTACATCTAGATAGGCGACGAATAACCAATTTATTCGCCTAAACTTTCACTCTATCAACAAAATTTATACATAACATATTTGTCAACAACTAATCACACTCTCTTCCAATGTACAATATGATCTACTTCTCTCTTTAGATTGTGATTATGGCTGAAAAAAATTTTGTTGGTGATTTAGATGATGGTAATGAACACAAGGTAAATGAAATTCATTTAGATAAATAAGAAAAAAACATTT